TTCATCATCATCAAACAACAAAACCAAAAAAAAAAAAAAAAATTTATTTTTTGCCCCTAGGTTCCCAAGAACCTAGGACCTGGGTTCAGTAGAACCCTTTCTTTCTCCTTCCTTTTCCTTGCCTTACCTTCTTCATCAATCAATTCTTCATCTTCATTAATCAATTTTTCATTATCATCAAACAACAAAACCAAAAAAGAAAAAAAAAAAGATTTTTTTTAATGTTTTGCCCTTGGGTTCGATGGAACCCTTTCTTTCTCCTTCCTCTTCCTTGCCTTACCTTCTTCATCAATCAATTTTTCTTCTTCATCAAACAACAAACCCAAATATATATATATATATATATTTCCCTTGGGTTCCTGGGAACCCAAGACTTGGGCTTGATGGAACCCGACACCTAGGTTCCATTGAACCCAGTTGCTGGGTTCAAAGGAACCCAAGTGTGCTAGGTTCCAAGGGGACAGAGAAGGAGAAAGGGAAGAGAAGGGGAAAGAGAAGGAAATTAAAAAAAAAATTAAGTTTTATTTTTCATAATAATATTTTTTATATTATTATTTTTCCATATCATCACTTTTTATGTCATCACTTTTTTTGTCATATTGTGTTCCATGTGTATTAATATTTGACATGTCAGCTTGTAACTGTAAAGTAGCAAGCCACATCAAGAGATTTTTAACGAAATGAACAAATTGAGGTAAAAATGGTAAACAGTAGGGACCAAATCAAGAATTTTTTAAGTTTAGGGACTAAATCAAAGGTCCATATAATAGTTTAAAGACCAAAATAAGATTTTAACCTTTTAAAATTGATTAGTTTAGAGTTGCTCTTTTTCGGTGAATTGATTCATTCATTTATATCTTCTGATACAAGATAGAGATATTTTTAATATGCATTGTATTTTTTTATGCAGTTGAAATATTAAAATTATCAAAATATTATAAATGATAATTTTTTTTAGTATTAATCTCTCGATATAATCATATTAAGTTTTGATTAATCTAACTTCATAAAAGTATAAAGTCTTTCAGCACATGTTTCTTTATTCACAAAAGTCAAATTCAAAATCTTATTTAGGGAGAATCGAATTTTTTCCACTCGAACCAACAAATCGTTGGTTATTATTATTAATGATAATGAATGAATATAAATGACAATTTTATTAAAGATATTTTAATAATTTTAGTACTTAAATTGTAAAAAAAAAAAAAAAAAAATCCATTTTTTTTAGCTTTTTTTTTCCGCTCCTCTCTTTCATCTTTCCCTTTCTCTTTCATCTTCCCTTTCTTCAACTTCTACAA